TTATTTTAAAAAAATTGATCGCAACCAGCAATTTTCTTTCCTAGCCTTTAAATATGTAGGCTGGTATTACTGAATGACAACTAAGTGTTGACCTTTACTTGAGTACAGTACCCCTAGCACGAACCAATATCAAATTCGTATCGTTTGCGAGTCCGAAATGTCATGTCAAATGTGTACTGATTTTTAGTTCTCGTTACGTACTTTGTGCCGCTGCTGTTCAAGTTTCCATACAAAATTTGACATTTCGGTTTGCAAACTATTCGAATTCGATAATAGTTCGTGCTAGGGGTACAGTTAGAAAAGGATGTCGTTTTGTATAGCACAAAGCGACATCTCTTTGTAACCGTACTCAAGTAAAGATGATTTTAAGCTTTAGAATACTAGCGCAAATACTTGTTAAATTGGTACAAGCTTAAAAGGCTTGTGGAGATTTTATTTTCGGACTGAAGGAACGGATCTTTTGTTTTAGTGATATAGTGTCCTTATTTAGTTGACCACGACTGTATAAAATAAGTCTAATGGTTTTCCTGGAGTATTGTAAATTCAGGCGATTTTCGTGACATGTGTCCAAATGATCCGTTTGCTTTGTGCTTACACCTTTCACTATCAAATGGACAATGCTTGCAAATTTTGTAATCAAAATATATGTGATATGTGAAAATTGCTGACAGTAAATCGTTCGATATTTCAACCTCTAAATCAGTGTGGCAACTATGGCATGCAAAAACCAGTTTTTCGAGTTTATGTTAATAAAAGTCTATAAAAACATTAAAAATGCGTATTAACTGCAACAATTCCTCATCACACATCATGCAAGAGCCTGTAGAATACGAATACTAAAGGCTCCAGAATTTTCTCTAGCTTGGTATTATCGACAATCCTATTTTGTGTGTCTTTGTATAGAAATCAAATCCACTTGGAGCCGCTGGATGCGGGCAGCATGGGACCGATCGTTGTGGAAATCCATGGGGGAGGCCTATGTCCAACAGTGGACGTCTTTCGGCTGAAATGATGATGATGATGATGATGGATCCCCCGATTAGTAATCGACGGAGATCTAATTGGTATTTGAGAGTTCCAGTCCACAAATGGGAGCAATACAATGAGTACGAACCAATATCGAATTTGTTACGTTTAAGGTTTCTACCGACTACACCGTTTCATAACATGACCGTATTAGGAACGTGTCAGACAAAAAAATATTCTTTGTATAGAAAACTATGAGACGATGCTCATTAGACCTTTCCGACACCGACCAGCACCGTCGCGTGCCATACACGGACAGTTAAGAATTGTCGGGGAGAATATTTTGCCGGTGCCGATACGCTCCGCGCATAGCACGCGACGTTGCAAAACCGATGCGCGCAGGTAACAAAACGGTGACTATACGGGTTAGAACCGCGTATGATGACCGTTATATAGGCGTCTTAAACGCCGGAAGTTCTGAAAGAACTTTTCGACATCTTCAACTAAGTGCTTATACAACGTCCAAAATTCTCCTTCAATTTTTCGTTCTTTTATAGAATCGTGAATCCAGTAGCGTCGAGTGGTTTTTTGATTCTGTTCTTCTTCCTCATCCAATATTATGGCAATCATTGCCAGTTGTCTAACAGTTAATCTTTTACTGTTAGTTAATAGCTATACCTATTGTATTTAAAAGTTGATAGCACTCCGCAGACTTCCATTCATTACCGATACACATGTTAGAATGAAACGGCTTCCTATCGATTTTGGTGGAGACATCATACAAATTACGCAAAGGCAACATACGGGTTGCATACGGGCATCATACGGGGTGCACACCGGCAACATACGGGCATTATACGCCGTCGATCCGTTTCAGTGGGCATAGCAAGCCGTATCGTGTCACTTTCCGTGTTTGATACTGTCCTAGCACATTCATGGTATGAAACGGTGTAGTCGGAAGAGACCTTTATGTCATTGACAAATTTCGAAATGAAACTTGAATAGCGCCGCATACGTAATGAGAGTTAAAAATCAGTACACATGTAACGTGTATCTAGATCGAATTCAACTATTCGAATTTGAAAATGGTTCGCGCTAAGAGTAACAAGTATGATTAATGAAATAATTTACGCTTTGTAGAGCAGAAGTTTTTGCTTGAACGTGAAGTACTGCTATGACCGATTAAGAACTCCAAGCTTTTTTAGAGGCTAGTTTGGCCTTGCCCTCTAAATGATTTCTATACTGGACGTCGCACGAGATATCAACACCTAGTATCCCAACGCTATTGGAATTATGCAGCGGGACTTCTTGAAATTGTGGTGTGACGGTAAATGAGTTCTTTTTGCAGTGAATACGCAAATCAGTGTCTTGCTAGGGTTGAATCAAAAGAGGTTCTGACTTCCACATTCAGAGACTCGCTCAAAAGAATCCTCCACTTCGAACATAAGCTTAGTCCGCCATCCCGAAACTACAGGCCAAGGACGTTTGGATGGCAGGTATTCCACGCATTCCACGTGCTGTTCATGTTCATAGCATGATCTGAATAGCAAATCATGCCGGGAACTAACAGCATGTTATTGATATGTAGGATGATCAGCGTCGGGGAGAGTACTGAACCTTGTGGAACTCTAGCATTTATCATGGGTTCGGAGCAGCAGTCATCAATAACGACTTTGATACTCTTGCTGTCCAAGAAGTTGGAGTTGAAGATATACACTTGCAAAGCCTCTCAGGTAGCCCGTAAGTTGGTAGCTTCAATAAACGTGCTCTATGCAAGACCCTGTCAAGCCAGATACCCAGACTCACTGCAAGGGGCCTCACCTTTGCTATTGTCAGCTTTTTTGGCTAAAGCGGTGAGTGAAATAAACGAGAAGATCATAAACCAAACGACCGTGGCGGAAACCTTAGTGTCGGTAGCTGATTAACTGATGCTCCTCACGGTATCTCAAATGCAGGGAGCAGTCCCTAAGGTGATGTAGCGGGTGATTAACACCCCTGCAGATGTGATCGCTACAGGCCTGTAATTTACAAGATCAGATTGGTCACCCTTTAAGTGCACTATTTTATCACCTATAAAAGTGAATCGATAGAGACTGACTGACAAATGGCTGCGGGACTCGAACGATGATCGAGCGAATAAGGCTTTCCATTTTACAAATAAAGTTTATTTTTCCTGAAATAATTAAAATCAATTTACATTGTAGTCATAATTTTCTTTTATATAAAGTCCATTGATGCGTAAGGAAGAATGTTTTTGTGTCAAGTAAAAAAGAAAAAAACAGAAAACCCGAAAAAAAGGTTTTATGACAAGAGCAAACAGAGTTCTAAAATATTCGATTATTCGGTATTTTCAGTGATCCGGTTGTATACCCTAGTATTAACGTGTTACCTCTAATTTTTATACCTAAGAAATGCATTCTTTTATAAATTAAGCCATAAAGTCCAGCAAGTTTAAATGAGGCTGCTGGATGACATCTAGGCTTAGATTCCAACAGAAACGGAAGGATTGGCACTCGCGGCTCAAAAGTGTACCGCTTAAATTAGACTCATGAACACAATTCGCTTTAGGTCACAATTTGGCATCCAAACACGATGCATGTTCACTCAATATAATACAGGCACTTCACTTGACTATTCGTATTTGCTATTTGTAAACTTTACAACAGTCTGTCCTTTTCATGCTATTTAAGGAATGAAAAGGACAGACTGGTGTCATGTTTACAAATAGCAAACATAAATAGTTAAGAGAAGCGCCAGCATGACAATTTGTTATTCGCCATTTGTTATGAAGAAAAGTACAACAATACAGCTCCGACGTTTGTAGAAAGAAAGAAAACGCAGTCGGTTGCCAAGCAACGCAGACTGGCCGTTACGCTCGCGCTGCGTTGAAGCGTACAGTACCCTTAGCACGAACCAATATCGAATTCGTAACGTTTGCGAGTCCGAAATGTCATTATCAAATGTGTACTGGTTTTTAGATCTTGTTACGTACTTTGTGGCGCTGCTGTTCAAGTTTCCATACAAGATTTGAGATTGACATTTAGCACTCGCAAACTATTCGAATTTGATAATAGTTCGGGCTAGGGCTAGGGGTATTGTTTTATCTAGCTCGCGCGGTTGAATGTTTATATAAAGAAGTGTGCGTGTTGAGCGTTGCTTATGTAGTTGAGTCGGAGCATATTTTATTTGATGCTGCAATGAGCGTACCGTATCCTCCCTTTTTGTTTTAATCAAAGCATTAAGGGGGACATTTAGGCCCGTATTAATAGATCGCTCTCAATTCTGACTGCGTCTTTGAGATACTGTTTTGTATGAAAACAGCATCTCAAGATCGTAGTCTCAGAGTTGAGGGTTATCTATTAATACGGGCCTAAATGACTCACTAAATGATATGCCTTAGAGCGTGGATAGACCCGAGACGAATCTACTTAGTTACATCATATCAAGAGATATTGCTGTGAAATGTCTTATTTATAAGCTATGGAAATAAATTCATGAATAGAGCAATATTACACTACTATTGTGATGTTGTTTTAATAAAAACATAGAAAATAACATACAATGGATGAAAAAATAGACATCACTGGAAGGTTATGTAATGAGTTGACAGAACGTTACTCCACGCCGCATTTAAAATCCAAAGTTATTTTATGCCGCGAACCGCCTGCGTTGCATTCTGGCCAGCACTTTATGTAGTTATGACAGCGCATAATAAATTATTAACCATATCACGTTATTAGGGTTATATAAGAAATTAATTTTCGCACAGCTTATCACCGTTTCATTATAATCATTAATATTATTGACATTTATTGTATTTATTCTCAAAATACGCGTTATTTTGATATTGTGGTTCGTCATACAGTTAAAAAGCGTTTGTTTGAAATATACTATGAATTCGCTAATAATACCCTTTAACGCTGATGCTTTGCTAGACGACACTCGCATAAATTTTATTTTATATTTATAAAATTTCGGCTTTTATTTTCGACGGTTACAAGTTCATGCAAAAGTAAAATTGCTAAAGCTCAAACCTTATTTCTCGTTGTATACACTTTTCGCAAACACTGTCAGGTTCTTGTGTATCATCGCCTTTCCTTATCTTGCTTGGCCCAGCTGAGAACAAAATCAATAAACGCCAAGCAAAATATAGGTAACATTAGCAACCGTAACATGTATTTTGCATATGCTGTGAATAGAATATAACTGCCACTTTCCTTGTCATTTCATCAAAATATTTCAATTTTATCTAACTCATGAGAGATTCAAATGCTTCTTCAATCAAATAGACATTCTCAATTTAAGCTGGACAGTTTTAAAACTCAAAGAGTTAGAATGACTAGCCCTACACACCACAAATACTTAATACTTTTATTGTAATTTTGTTTAATATAACTTTTCAGATAAAATAACATGGAAAATAGTAGCATTTCACTTAAAAATTCTGCACATTTATAAAATTATATAGAAAATATGAAATGTTACAAATATATTTTGTACACCAATATTTTATGAATTATTTGGATAAGTGAAACAAACGATATTTAATAAATGTTGTTTGTTTGAAAACCACACTTGTTACTTTTGACGTGGTACTTAAATAAGAGTTTTCAATTATTGTTAACAGAGTGATATGCATTCAAAGAAGGGGTCAAAAGCCAATAAATGATAATATTGTATACTCCATTTAAATAGAATAAAATTCATAGAAGTAAATAAGTGTTATTATAAACTTAGTGATCTCAAAAAGTAGTTTTTCATTTTCTAGTCAGCTGTAGCAAATCAGCGATAGTAGTGCTTAAATATTGCTAGCAACTAAGTGCAGCTTTAAAATATTACAAAATATTACAACTCCTATGTATTTCCAATTTTATAGAAACTTTTCAATTTATAATACCTATGACACAACATTGAAATCAGACAACCTGATTTGGATAATTATTTAAATGATAATTTACATAATACAGAGAATGATGCATACAAAATACTTATAACTAATGTTTAATGATAAGAGACAATACATAATAGTTAAGTAATTTGTCCAAAATATATTCTTAAATGCTCTGCTGGAAAATGAGTTAAGAAACAATGGGTTTAGAGAATTGTTATTTTTATGAATTCTGCTTGAAGAAATTTATTGTCATTGATAAATGTCAAAAACATAAATGCATGGATCTTAAATTTCAATTGTATGTAGACAACTTTCAAAATGTAAGAATATTTTTGGAAATAATTTCCTATGCATGGTAAGACCTTCTATTAGGACACATACACATAGAACATCCGATTTTACAGGATCCTTTTTAAGGGATCTGTCTCTACCAAAGGTAATATTCACACAATTATAGGAACAATTTTAACGTATCAGATGCTATTAGATGTAGTAAAATATTTACCTCTGTGTGAAGCACACTGCAGGTAGTCATGCAATAAAACAAATGAGTAATTCCATAATGAGTGGGATTTTTACTGGATCTGGAATACTGCCATATTTGTGAACTAGTTCACACAACTCTAAATATTCCAATAATGTAAATGTTTAAACAGGCTACTAAAACTGACTGCTGCATATTTTGTCAGATAGGTATTGTTTACTGGATCTGGAATACTGCATTGTGTGTGAACTCACATTACAACTATATACACCTTCAAATAGCAGACCAGAAAAAACGGATTGCTATGTGTATGCACCCTCACTTAAATATTTGCTGCAGTTAAAGCCTCCTATTTTAATACCATTTAAAGAGGTATATACAATAAATATATACTTTATCGCTAAGCAAAATAATTATAATGGAAAAATAATGTAATAGAAATTCAATCTTCACAATATTACAATTTCAGAAAAACTATTTTCTTAAGAAATACAAAGCTTACCTTCAGGACTGTCACTTAAGGGCCGTTTAACAGCACGGGTAATACCAGGTGGTGGTCTACTTGCATCGAACCTGTAAAATCAAATTTACATGAAGGCAATCTATAAGCTAACTAATGTTCATAATATCACACTAGAAACATAGGAAGTAAAACAAGTTAATTATTTTCCTCCATCTCCATACATAATACATTGAAAATAAAGAAGAGTGCTATAATTACAACAACAAAATATTATATCTTACATGGGTAAAGGTAGAGGTGGTTGATTTGCAAGAACAACAGGTGTGGCTTGTGGTGGTGGTGCTGAAATAAATCAATGTTGATATATCACTATAAAGTCCATTAATATCAATTAAAGCAGTGGTGGACAACTAATAAGAAAGTTGATCTCATTCTTGATAATTTCCAGATTATTTAAAAAAATTTAGGTATCCAATGCCCCAAGCTGCATGGAAACCTGCACGCTTTTCTATGTGGGCTATATGTGTATTAGAGATGGGCTGACTATGGTATTTGCCGACTAATCGGTTTTCATTTTGAAGACTAATCGGCCGACTAGTCGGCAATGCCGATCATTGTAATACCTATCATAAGGAGGTGTTTGGAATATTTTGTCACTCGGCTTGCTATCGCACGCCACGAGTCATGAGTCCCGATAAGTGCACAATATTGATAACGAGAAATCTACTTCGGCGCACGAACTTCACTCTTACTGCGCATTGCCTGTCATAAAACGCAATGAAGACCTATTTACATGGTGACACGTGAACAGTTCCAGATATCCTGAAATGTCTCGTATCGCCAAAGTATACCTTTGTTGCCCGTCAGTATTGTTTATAGCGAGCGCTCTTCTCAGAAGCTGGCAACATGTATGAGACAAAAATAAATCGCCTACTCCCAGATCGCGCCGAAACATTGATATTCCTACCATCACAGCTTGCCTCTAATAAAAAATATATATGTATGTTTAAGGACTTCTTTAACACTCGCTAGCACTTAAGATCTTACTTAATTAATACTTAGGTACCTACCATTGTTATGTGATATATTCATTATGTTAATTTTATTGAATTACTGACTGATTCCTAATTTCCTCATTACTATAATGTTACCATATTTTTTTGAAAATATTTTATGACTGTAATGTCTGTAACATTAGATACATACTCTAGGTATTATTTATAAATTAAAAAACAAGCATAAATCGTTTTTTTTTTCATTTGTTTGTGCAGATTATGATCGACATGTTTTGCCGAATAGTCGCCGACTACAAAGGACGCCGACTACAAAGGACGCCGAATAGTCGTCTTTCCCGACTAGTCGGCCCATCACTAATGAGTATCAACAATAGGGAAGATGCAATATTTTTATTTTTGTTTTCATTTTAAAGAATTCCATGTAGAATAAAACACAGATATATTAAAAAATTAAAACATTGTGATTTATCGGAAAAAATGCGGTTTTAAATTGACAATTTAAATTTTCGCGCGAAAACGAACCTATGGTTGCGATGACGTCACTCCTGTCTGTCACTGGTCGTAATTGTTCGTTGCTGGCTTTAAATTTTCATACTTTTGCATATTTTATCGACTTTCGAAATATTTTTTTGAAAAATTTTTAATGGACTATCCATCAACATCATGTGATCATAACAATACCACTAATATTCCGAAAAAAAGCCGTGTTGACTCATGTTTTGTGCCAATCTACTTCAACAAAGTTCCCAAATAAATTGTTTTTGACTGGAACTTCTGACCCAAAACTGAAAAAAGTGGTTTCAAGCTGCAAAGAGAAATGACAATTATTCTCCAAAGAGCATTATTCGATGCTGAGAAGATCACTTTGACGTAAGTCGGCGAATATACTTGTTATATGCATAATTAATCTGCTTGTTCGTAAAAACGCATTAGTAACCTACCTAATACTTACAAAACCTGTCTATAACATATTTTTAATTTTACAGTTGGAGAATGACGTCGAAAATTAGATAAAGTTTAAAATGTGTGGCACAGTCTTCACATTGGCAGGACTGAACCAAGCTTTGCGTTTCATTTAAAATAACTGTAACACGATAACCTTCTTTACGTACTTTATGCTCCGGAGAACTCGACCTTTTACTGTACATAATTTTCCATCTCTTTTAATTTGGACATAGCCGATTGCATTATCGCCGTAAAATTTGTAGAAGCCGCTGAATAAAATACGAAGTTTAACAACTACGATTTTTGCATACCGTAGTAATTTAGTCCCTTTCATTTCTACACTTAAAAACTCTGCACTTTGGACAAAAAAAGTTATAACCATGTCAACGATAACTCTTGGTAAATTCCTGGAGTCTGCTTTGATAAATGCAACTTCCATTTTTATTAAATGTAAAAAAACGCAATAAATATTCCCATAAAATAATATTTTCTTTAACAACCATACCTCAAAGAAGTTGTCATAACAGGAGAGACGTCACTAAACGCTGATTGGTGTTTTAAAATACGTTCCGTTTCAAGTATTTTTAATTCGTAATAATTGTTAAAAAACAACATTATGTAAAATAAAAACGTTGCAGTAGCATTTCTTTTATATTTTTTTAAGATTTTAATCATAAAATTTTCATAAATATTATATATGCATCTTCCCTATTACATAACAGGGACCTCATGGGCAGTGTCAAACATTACTTGATTGCTTTGGCTGGATGATGAAAGCACCGTATTTACACATTATAGGTAGGCACTACAATGATAAATGAGATACTTTATACAAATATTAAACAACCAGATTCTTTCCAACCCTGTTTTGTTGTTAACATTTTAAAAGAATCAAAGGCATTATTTCAAACACAGAATATAATATTGCCTTTTTCAGATGCAGTTACTTATAAGTTGCCTACCACAGAATATATATACAGTGGTGGTTGTATAATAAGAAACACTACTAATGGCCCTTGTTATTATATAACATACTACATCACAATTTCTATTTTGAAATTAAACAAATAGGACAACAATATGTTCAACGATTTATCATTAATAGAAAAACAATATAAATCCCATTACACAAGTTTCAATATTACATTACGGACAAACGTTTTAGTTTTAAAAAATAAGAAAAACCCCTACCAGTATTTATTCTAAACACAGATGCTAACAATTGGCAATTTATTTTTAATACTGTCAAATACCCTATTAGAAACAACAACAAAAAAGTATAAAAACAATATTTATTTTAGTATTAGTAATTATTGCTATTTACGAAATAGCTACTATCCACAGCCTACCAATAGTTATAATTAAGATTTTGTGGTATATCCCTTATTTCCAATAACTGCACTGCAAGGATGTGGCATTGATTCAATTAATTTCATACATTTTACTAGGGGAATTGAATTACATTACGGACAAACATTTAAATCAGTTTTAGTTTTAAAAAATAATAAAAACCCCTGCCAATATTTATTCTAAACACAGATGCTAACAATTGACACTTTATTTTTAATACTGTCAAATACCCTATTAGAAACAACAACAAAAAAGTATAAAAACTATATTTATTTTAGTGTTAGTAATTATTGCTATTTATAAAATAGTTACTATCCAAAGCCCACCAATAGTTATAATTAATATTTAGTGGTATATCCCTTATTTCCAATAACAGCACTGCAAGGACGTGTCATTGATCCAATTAATTTCATACATTTTACTAGGGGAATTGAATTCTATGCTTCAACAAATGCTTCATATAGTACATTTTGACTGCTGTTAGGTTTGTTTGAGACTATCTGTTTAACAATATATCAGAGATTTTTGGGAGAAAATCGGATGCTACTACATTTAATCTAAGACAACTACTTCATTTTTAATCTGGTAGGAGCCTTTGTATAGTTGTATCTTCTCTGGGAGAGATTTTTCTTGGCCAAGCTTTTCTAAGAACATTTTCAACAGTTCCTCCAACAGAAAATAAACTCCTACATGTATAAGACTCATTTTGTAATTAAAAGTAACATATGTTGTACAGTTTATGCATTCAATGAGTTTTTTATTTAATTGGCTATAATATTGCATGATTATGAATTATTGAATGTGTATATTTTTTAAGTTATACCTTCTTTATTCATAATAGGCGTTTCTAATTATACGACCAACACTGTATATATTTAAGTATTTATTATGTGTATGTATATATATTTTACAATAAACACTTATCATCAGGATTGCAAACTGAACGAAATGTCTCGAACAAATACGATTACTGGTCTCTCATATGAGGTACGAGAACACTACACATCTCATACAATAGGGTATTTAACAACTTTTAGAAAAAGATCTCATGTTATTTACTAATGCTTATGGAGTCCACAAAGAGTGGGGGGTTGGGTGCAAATCTTGTATGCAGTCCAAAAGCCACATCATGAGATTTTTAGCTGCATAAGTATGAGGAGAAAAAGACTTAAGTTGGAACCCTGCTTATAACAATGATTAACCATTATTTTACCTGTATATACTGCAGAGACATTAGTTGTCACTGTAGAAGTTTCTGTTGGTGGTGGTGGTGGTGGTGGTGGTGGTGGTGGTGGAGGTGGAGGCATCATAGTGAGGGTTGGTTGGGCTACTGGCAGAGGAGGTGGACCTGACAGTAGCTGTGGCGGCGGCTGGGTCAAATACATAGCCGGCGAGACTGCATCCGACCCAAATACATTATTATTAGCTGCAGCAGCTCTCATGGCTGCGCGTCTTTCTAGTAAAACTTGCGGTAACTGCCCCGTCGTACGAAAGAGATTTTCCTCTTCTTTGGATGTGTGGAGAAATGTGCACTTTGGTCTATTACAGCCAGTACGGTTTTGAAAATTGTGGCAAAACTGCAATATTGATAACATTTCTTCGGTCGTGCATTCATGACGATATCTACACGGACCGTAGCAATTTCCCCATACGTAGTCTCGACAAACCACAGGTGGTTCGGGCGCGGCTACATTTCTTATACGCGGATCTCTAGATGCTCCAGATTGCACAGTTTTAGGGGCACGGGCGGCCATTTTGTTCAGACTAGAATAAAAATTTTGCAGCAATCGACAGGATACAAGTAACAAATTCAATACATTTCAAACAATAATATCACTAAGAACTTACATTTGAATCCTGCATCAGTTAATGAATTTAGCTTAATAAGAATTTTAATTTACCTAACCAAACACAGCAGTACCACCACCCCAAGACTAGTAATCAGTGTTGCCAGGTCCGATTTTTAAAAATCGGGAGGCGTTACAGAAAAAAACAGTAGATGTATGGAAACAGCTACAAGAAAAACAGTAGATGCAGGGGTGTACTTTTTCCGGTTTGCACCCCCCCCCCCCTAGAAATGGTAAATCAAATCAAGATAAAGATCAGTAACGAATGTGTTTCTGTAGCTTCTGCCGCCCCTCAAAGCTATTTTTTCTTTAGACAATTACATTTATTTTATAATTATTAAGGTTATCTACATTATTAATGACGAAAAATGCAACTCAACATGCAATTTAAAAAAGAAAATCGTTTTCTAGAAAAAAGGAGATTCATGTAGAAAAACAGTAGAACACGAGAAATTTCAGAAAAACAGGAGATCTCCTGTAAAATTTGGAGACCTGGCAACACTGCTAGTAATGTAGCGTACATTTTTTTTTTTATTATATTGGCTCGCACGGTTTGTGCATTGGCCACGACAGGGTAAAAGGTAAGGAAACCAAAATAATGAAATAAAAAGGTTGTGAAACGGAATTTGGAAGGATTAAGATCAGGTAAGTACGTAAAATTAATTTGAAACGTAATTAATAGGTCTTTTAAGTATATAAAATACATTATATTATTTCTTATAATTTTATATTATGTTTAGTTAGGAATTCAGATAGTTTGTAATATATATTATATTTTTTATAATACAATAAGGAAGGAATAGAAGTAGGGAGAGGTACATTAAGGGATATTAATGAATCCATAAAAGAGGAGGAATCATTGAGGGGACACTCGAAGAAGATGTGATTTAAGTCCTCTGCTCCAGTACCACAAGCACAAATACTATCATTTACTATGCCCAGTTTAGCCAGATGGGAAGAAGAACAGTTATGACCTAGGCGCATTCTTATGAGACTTGATGTGGCAAACTTACTTAAATGAATTTTAGAAAACCATGGTTTATCGGGAATACATTGTTGAATTAATTTATAATGTTTACCTTTGATGCGACTACTAGTATCCCAATTTTCTTCCCAAGATATGCGTAGATGCACTTTAGGAAGTAAAAAAAGACCATTTACTAAATTTTTATAGGGAAAGACGTCACCACAATTCACTGAATCTTTAGCGAGTTTATGGCCAGGTATCCACGCAAAGAGCACATTTAGATTCTTCAAAGTACAATTCAGTAATAATTTCCTACAATCGATCAAATAAGCATTAAAGGAAGAAGCTTTAAAAGGAAATTTTTCTATTGCCTGTAAAGTGCTTTTGGAATCGGAAAAAATAATTGTCTTTTTGAGTTGTGCAAGCAAAATGTATTCTAATGATTTAAGGATTCCATAACATCCTCCTGTGTATACTGAGGTTTCTAGTGGTAATTTAATTTTTGAAGTTATACTTCTTTAGGCGCGTTATGAAAAAATGATGAGTGTGAAATTTTAAGATGCGCGCGCATCGCTGTAACACAAAATTTTAACAGCATGAAGTTGGTCGCTTTAGCGACACGTCCGTCCAAGTGATCGAGGCGGCACGTCCGCATTGTGCAATATTTCGAGTTGTAGCAGTATTGCTGATTCAGGTATGGAAAATTTAAAGTATTATTTTGAATTATTAAGTTTTTGCTGATTTAAACTTTAATATGAAATGGGTGTATTTAGAGTTAATACACTCTTACTGATTAATACAAGCGATATTTCAAATAATATTTTTATTTACGACATTATTATTGGTTTAGTTATTCATTTTAGACATGATACAGTATTGTTGATGCATGACGATTGAGCACCTTTTATTGTTTGATTTGTTAGTATTTAAAGAAAAGCCCAATTGTTTATCATAGTATTTATCACGGTGCATTGGAATATGTTATTGTTAAATTAGGAAAATGTTTACTAAATATTTTATCTCGTTAATTTAGAGTTACTACACTCTATGTGACACGTGTGCTTTGTATGTATTTTGCTAACCAGAACTTGATTAATTTGCAGAACTATGCATCGTGGGCGATTACTTGTTGGTATGGCAATAAAAACGAGCGGCGAAAACCAGGACAAAGAAAATGACAAACCTGTTAAAGAATGTGCACATCCCTCAAATTTATTACCTTCATTGTTGTCAAAATCGGACAAAAATGATAATAACTGTTTAATAAAAACTAGTTATAGTAATTTGTATCGGAATAGACTGCTATTTTTTATTTTGTAAGGACTTAGAAAATATTGTTAGTATTTATTTATTTTATTTATTTATTTAAACTTTATTGCCAAGCATAGGCATTCTCTACCAGTCAACCAGTATGATTTTTGGAGACAAATAGTATCTAGAAAGACTGTTTAATTTTTGTTTGGTTTTGTTTTGGGATTATTATTCTGTTGATTATTTGATTAAGTTTACATTTGATGCTTCAACTACTTTATAAGAATAATTAGTGACAATCATTATGTGTCGGAAAAGACTGTTTTTTTTTTATGTTTCGTAAGGACTTACTAAGTTTACTAAGTTTAAAAATAACTAAATATTTATTTTTATACTTGTATGTATCTAGGAACTGTTTTGTTTAAGAAACTTTATTTTGTAATCACTTATACAAAATATTTCACTATTTTGTATTATTTCAAACATTGTATGTTTTCTTCTAATTCAGTTTATTGCGAAATTATAATTGTTTCTTATAAAACTTTGTTTTTTTAAACTAATACCCTAACTCGGAGAAAATGTTCAAGTTATACGTAAATATAATACCAAAAACAATTCTTAAAATTGTTGTAACTCTAAAATGTATATTTAAACTATACCAAAAAAGCTATATTCAAATTGTAGTAACCCAAAATATTTCTAAAATAACTACACAACTAAAAATAATATTTCATTTTGAACAGTTTGTTCGATATTATACCGTATCAACTCAAAAAATGTGAATAACTATAGTCCCCGTAATTTTTAAAATTATTGGTATATATATAATTTCTTTAAATTCTGTAATAAAACAAATAAAGAATGAATTTTTTTATAATCTATAATAAAAAGTGAATAATCAGTTTTTCCTTGATTCTGAAAAACTATCAATTTTGAGTTACAACACTGTTGTAATATTAGTGCGATATGTTCTAATAAATTATATTCAGTAGCGATTTTAATTGAATATTTTGATTATTTATTTATTTTTTCAAATTAAAACTGAACTTTATTGACTGTGTCCTTTTCCAGACTTTTTATTAATTTATTGTAAATAATTATTTGCATGCAATTAAAAACTAATTTTAAACGATGCCAAAGAAGGATAACTTCTGACGCGCCTACATAAGTACACGCACCCATTTTTTTGTGTTATTTTATACTGTTGGTGGTAAACACCGATTCCAACTATCCCAGTAGATGGATGTTTAGATGCGTCACAGTAAATGTAATGCCAGTCTGGCCATTCTGTATTAACAATACTGATTAGATTAATATTAGTATTTTTATCATTACGTAAAGAGTCTAGATAAATTACTTTGGGTGAAATGGTAAGAGCTTCATAATTAATAGAAAAAATAGGAAGATATTGTGATCGGTGGGTGGGTGCTAGCAGTGAAGCAAATTTAATGTGTTATTCCAATATGCCGAAATATTAATTTTACGCAATAAATCGTGTAACTTGTTAAAAAGAGGGTGGTCAGAAAGTTGAAGAGCTCTAAATAGAAATTTATCACTTAAAAATTGTCTCCTTAGTTTTAAAGGAGGATCCACACATTCAACCTGGCGTGCATTAATAGGACTTGACTTCATGGCGCCAGTTACAATGCGAAGAGCTTCAGACTGGATGCCATCTAACTTACTTAGTGCTAATGCACTACAGGGCTCCAGAAAGCAAGTTCCATAATCAAGGATACTTCTGATAATAGCATTATATATTAACTTTTGTGTTGATGGATGAGCTCCCCACCAAACACCAGATAGGTATCTTAAAATGTTTAATAATTTTTCACATCGAGCTGATACATAATAGCAATGTGATAAACCAGTTAATTTGGAATCTAGAATGATTCCTAGAAATTTCGCTTCATTACACACTGGAATTATGTCATTACCACAATGTACAGAAAATGAGGGGGGTGATCGTATTCTTGTAAATAAGACGGCACAACTTTTAGAAACAGAAAGACTCAGTGAGTTATTATCTAACCATGATTTTAAGAGTGTTAACACATTACTTAAAGATTGACTTAATTCAATAATAGATGATCCGGATACATAAAAAACTAAGTCATCCGCATATTGTAAAATGTTAGCTCTGTCTGCGATGTAAGACTCCAAATCATACGTATAGACATTGTACAGTAAAGGGCTTAAAACCGAACCTTGAGGTAGTCCTCTCCATGTCAACCTAGATTTTAAATTGCCATCTCCCATATCTATTTTATCAATCTTTCCGAAAGAAGGTTAATAATGAAATCGATCAAAAACAAAGGAACTTCTAGTTTTTTAAGTTTGTTTTTTAATTATAATTTTTATTATTTTTAAAGCATGTAACTGCTTGATGTTTAAATCTAAAGAAAATATAACTAGAAAAAATTCCTTTGGGTGTTTTTTGGTGTAATTTGTTTTTTAAGATTTGAATGTCCACATTGTCGTAAGCACCAGATATATCAATAAATGCAGCAAGAATTGAATGATTATTTGAGAAGGCTAATCTGATATCAGTGGTGAAAATCCCTATGCTATCCATGGTGCTTTTACCTTTTCGAAAGCCATATTGGCTGGAAGCAAGAAGAGCTTTACTTTCTAAGAACCATTCCAATCTGTTCTTAACTAAGTGTTCTGCTATTTTAGAAAGAACTGAAGCCAGAGCTATAGGTCTATATGAATTTGGATCTGCAGGAGGTTTATTAAGTTTCAATAAAGGAATTAATTCCTGAGTTTTCCATGATATAGGAATTTCGTTATTAACCATAATAGAGTTGATCACTTGTAATAAGTAAATAAGACTGTCGTCACTTAAGTGGGATATGAATGAATAGGGGATTCCATCACACCCAGGGGCAGAATCTTTTACATAGGACAAAACACATTTTAGTTCAGTTAGGCTAAAAGGAGAGTTGAGGCCGTGGTCATGAGATAAATTATCAATCGTGTTGTTAATAGATTTGAATAAAGGTGTATTATCCGGGGAAACACTTTTGTTTTGGGGAGCTAATTTATCGAGGAATTTATCAGCCACTTCCTCATTTATGAACTTCTGAGTTGGTTCTCTGAACGCCGATCTAAATCTTCGGATATTAGTCCAAATAGCAGATGGGGTAATATCAGGGGCCAAGGAAGAACAAAATGCCTTCCAACCATCCCTTTTTATTTTCTTTAGTAGTTTACGAGTTTCATTTATTATTTGCGAAAGTTATTATAATATTTTTTTTCAGCTACTTTTCTACGCTTTATTGCTGCTGTGCATTCAAAATCCCACCAAGGCGGTGAGGGAATATTTCTATTAGATTGTTTACGCAGAAAGGTCGAATCAGCAGCCTCTATTAGAACCAACGCAAACGCATCTGCGCACATTGTTTGATCATTAAGCTGAACGGCGGGAAGAGATGATACTTTTTGCGCAAGTAGCTCCCTAAACTTCTCCCAGCTGTCACTGTCATTGTTAATTCTATGTTTCAGTGAGGGTTGCCACCTTTTTTATGTCCAAATAAAGTACATTTGGATATGAAAGGTAGAAAAAAAGTACATTGTGTTCAAAATAAAGTACTTTTTATTCAACTTTATTAGAAAGATTAAAAGTATATTTTGCGTTGCTTCTAGCAACTTTTAATAAATAATTTGGGACTTCTAAAAATCTGTAGTTCTTATCCGCAATGGGAAAGAACATTGTTCAAAGCCATACAGCCGCGACAATGGTGCAGGAATGAGCTAAGGGCGACATATTATACATACTGTTGTTCCGTTTTACGCAAAAATTCTTTCTATCAACCTCTATTTGTAAATTTATGAAAAATTTATCCCAAAGTAATCAAATCACATCAAATAAAGTATTTCACGTACTTTATTGTTGGCATAAAGTATAGAGTACAATTACCCGAAATAACGTACAATACTTTATAATAAAGTACGGGTGGCAACCCTAGTTTCAGTCTAGGTGAACGTATAGGACGCGATTTTAAAACTGTTTTAGGGAATGATATTAATATGGGGAAGTGGTCACTGCCGAAAGTGGAGGAAAGCGTGCTCCATGAAAAGAAAGAAGCTAAATTGGGGGTGGAGATAGTTAAATCCGGGGCGCTTATGCCTTCATTAGGCTGTGTGCGTCTAGTCGGATCGCCAGAGTTTAAAATACAAAAGTTATTTTCATCTACAATATCTAAAATTCTAGCGCCGTAATAGCTTGAGCTAGAACTACCCCAAGATCGATGTTGAGCGTTAAAATCACCCATTATCAAAGTAGGTTTAGGTAATCGCGATAGAATAGCTGCTACTTCATCATATATAGAGGATGACGGATGAGGAATGTATATTGACACAAAGCATTTATTTTGAACGGATGCAGCTATTATTGAGAAGTCAGTACTATGGTTAGTAATTGGAATATGCTGGAAAGGAACAGTGTCACTTATTAATAAAGCAACACCACCATAGCTATCAGTTCTATCTTCTCTTAAACAAAAATAATTAGAAATATTAAAGTTAGTGTTGGGTTGGAGCCATGTTTCTTGTAGTGCCATAATAATTGGTTTGTATATGTTAATAATATACAGTAAGTCTGATTTTTTATTCCTTATGCTGCGGCAATTCCACTGAAGGATTGTGGACTGAAGATCCATTATTGGTATCATTATTATTAATTAAATTATTCATATTTAAAATAGCAGCGTTGGACGGTTCAAAATAATTATTTTGTTGAGAGAGTGAGTTAATTAAAACAATAATTAAATCTTTTATTGACAAAGTAGATAAAGGATTATTTTTCAAGGTGCCAATTGATGGTAAAGGGATATCATAGTTCTGAGTTATTGAAGCATGGGCTACCTTATCATACCCTATGCTGTCCTTTTTGGGTGGATTTGATTTCACAAAATATGTCTTTTTATAGGAAGATATGTTTACATTATTATAATTTGTATGTTTTTGTTTTGTAGGAGACAATGGAGGTACTGTGGAAGATAACACTTTAGAATAGGATTTCATAACTGGAGGATGTAATTTAAATGCTTCAGCATATGAAACACAATTATTCGCCATGGTCTCTTTTATAGATTTCTGTCTTGCAAACTCTGGGCATTTTCTATTGGTCGCATAGTGAGAACCAGAACACGAGCAACACACAACATCATCATCATCAATATAACAGCTCTCACCAGCGTGGCTATTGCCATACTCGAAACATCTTGGAACAGATCTACACTGATTCCTAATATGACCATAGCGACAACAATTAAAGCACTGTACAGTAGGGAAAATATAAAAATCAACAGGTAAAGCATTGAAGCAAAGAAAAACTCTTTTAGGTAAAACCTGGCCATCAAAAGTAAGCACCACAGTCTCCACTGGAGAGAATGTTGCTTTTCCGTCTACAATATGTTTCCTATTTATTCTCCTAACTTTGAGTATATTTCCACACCCAAAAGGAACAGTAATATTTTTCATTATTTCTGCTTCGGACCAGTCAGTAGGAATACCTCTTACAACTCCCATACGAGTAATATTAAAACTAGGAATAAATGCTTTGTAGTTATGCTGTTTCAAAGCTTGATTGTCAATGAAAGCATTTGCATCTTCAAAATGAGTAAATGACAAAAGTAACCGATTCCTTCCAATTCTTTTAAGGCGTCCATTGACAATATTTTTAATGTTGTTTTTTTTTGAGGAAATGGCCAAACGAAATGGGGTGAATAGAGGTATTATCACTGGCACTGGTCTGTTCCCTCTGAATATGGATAATATACGGGGCGGCATGTGATGCCTGAAACAGATTTCGACTAACTTGGCTAGGAGAGGAATTTGAATTATTTACATTTATTATTTCTTGTGATACTGGAGCAGTAGGAATTTTGGGAGATTTAAATTTAGTGGGGAGGTTTTCTTCAAAATGACTATTATCGTCAGTACACTGACAATCTTTTTCATTAAAAGCCACTGAGGAGGACTTGTAATGCCTTCTCTTTTTGTTGCAATGCTTACAAATTTTTCGGGATGAGACTCGTTTACGTTTTTTGTTATTGAAGTTGTTATCAGAAGCATCAGTGTCAATTAAAGATCCCTCTGTTTCCATTTCATTTTCATTACAATCAAATGGAATTGTAACAATATGCGACATCTGGGGGGCTGTGCCTCCAGGGTCTAAAGGGTCATTCATACGTAAGAAATGTACGTAAAAAACTTACCAATACAGCGAATATAATTATACACTACTAATAAATATTAAAATATACACTAAACTAAGGACCTATCTGATCCCAATGACTATTAAATAGAAATTAATAAAAATTCTTGCCAAAAAGTACGTCCGCCTAAGTTGAAGGTTTCCCGCGCTTTTTTTCTAGCGTACATTTATTTTCTAATATTTAAGGTTACCTACATTTTAATGGCGAAAAATGCAACTCATCATGCATTAAAAAAGAAAATCGTATTCTAAAAAAGGGTAGATTCATGTAAAAATACAGTAGAACAGAAGAAATTTCATAATATCAGGAGATCTACTGTAAAATCGGGAAACCTGGCAACACTGCTTCGCACAGTCACCAATTCTTTCATCAGTGCACAGACTACTAATGCGGGATTTATACTACCCAATTATAAAGGCGACCACATACGTAGCAGTATACTTGAACGGTATACCGGAACTGAAGGTTTGTGCAAGTATACCCAGTTTTACGGCCAAGTGCATACGCCGCTCACCCC